CCCCCCCCCCCCCTCCCACCTTTTAGACATTCTGAATTTAAAAGTAAGATATTTGATAGAAATTTGATCCTAGGGGGGTTCCAAAAATCGTTCTCTAGGACAGACCCTATCTCTGATTAAAACAATCCCTCAAAGAAAAGAAAATGCACAGTAAATGCCGTTCATGCAGTACACCACAATATTTAAAAGTTCTAAAAATATGATTTCATTCCAAACGCCTACTACATATAAGATCGTGCACATCTTCTATTGGAAATCAATCCCGTATTGGTCTGTAATTCACCAATCTTTAAATTTACTAAAATGTCCTTTACTATTTTTTTTATAACGCATGTGCAAATAAAAAAGTATAACAGGGAAAATTATGTTTAAAAATTCAAATTGTGATCGAAAGTTCTCTGGGATAAACGTTAAATTTGTATCTTACATCGTGAAAAGTGCACATGTACAATACAAGGCCTACCAAGGCTCCAAGCCACTCAAATATGCTCATATTCCCACAAATGGGGGGTAATTTCCTAGTATGCGATTTTTGGACCCCCCCCCTCCCATCAATTTTGTACATGGGTCTGACAAGAAGCTTATTAACCTAACCTAACCCGTGGCCGCAGCGCTCGGACCCCTAGCCCATCCAGCCGCAGCGCTCGGCCCAGAAAGTATATTAACCTAACCTAACCCTAAATAACAATGGTCATGTACAAAATTGATAGGAGGGGGGGGCGGGGGTCCAAAAATCGTATACTAGGACAGACCCAAATGGGGAAATATTATGATTAAGAAGAAAAGATAAACAATACTTTTGACTTAATATGAAATGGGGCGCTCTGTAGGGTGGAATTTTGAAAATCGATTGAAAAATGAAAGTTAATGTTTGTGATTACTTTTTCGACAAAAGAAAAGTGTGAAAGTTCAAGAAATATAAACTGGTTTTTGAACAAAAATCTATAAAAAAAAATAGTATGGACATGTCCCTTTATAGTTCATCATTTAAACAAGAACGGACATTCATTAAGTAAAATCATTTTTAACAACTTTATCGTTCATCGTAATTTTAGCCAAATTTCGAGTCTGTCCTAGTATACGATTTTTGGACCCCCTCCCCAGNCCCCCCAGGAAATTACCCAAATTTCTGGCCATGAGTCGGTTGAAGCGAAACTTAATTCAACGCTATTTTACTCCCTTTAGTTCTGTCGTGCTAAAATTTAATAACTTCAATTCAATCGTCGGTTTATAATTGTACTGCATAGTAGCCGAGTTTCACTTTCGTCACAATAAACTGTTTGTAAACGGGTTAGGATAATAAAACTAGTTTATCTACCTGGAGCCGCACCAGGAGGAGGAGAGACGACTTCTCCTATCAGAGAATATTAGTTTTATGAGTTTATTCAAAAATAAAGATTAATAAAAACACAATTTTTACCTAAAAACGAATTTTTCTGATAAAGCGACCTTTACAATTTAATAATTTATACTTTTTTTCAACCATTTTAATGATAATACTCTTTCATTTTAAGCTTTAATTACTTTGAAACTTTAATAATATTTGCGGCATTTCAGCCTCGGTGCGCTTCATTATCTTGTTCGGTGTTTATGTAGATTTAGATATTTTATTTCTACTTGTTAAATAATTTCAGAGCTGTTAAATGACGAAAATGTATCGAAATTTGTATTATATTCATGGCCCGAGGGTTTTACGCTCTGTGGTAGAAAAGCCAACTGGACACAAGGAATTTGCACCATTAAAAAAATATATTCATTTCTAATTTAATTTATTATTTTCAAACATTTGTTTAACTTTCCAAATATTATAAATGGTGATATCCAAGGCTGTTGTTTACATTCCAAATAAGTTTGAAAAGTTCGGAGATAACGTGTTTACATCCGTAAGTTATTTGATTTATGTAATTTTTTTACTTTAGAATTTTTTACCCCTCCCCCCCCCCTCCCTCCCATCAACATTTTGTATTGTATTTTAGGATATACCTAAAGCCATGGGGCCGCAGTGCCTGGTCCCTTAGCCTGTTTTAGCCGCGGCGCTCGGCCCCCTAGCCTGTCCCATAGCCGTAACGCTCGGCCCAAAAACTGTCCTAGTTTAACCTTACCCTGATATATTACAAAACACATACTAACTATGTATGCACAAAATTGATAGGAAAGGTGTCCGAAAATCTTACATTCGTACTGAACCGATTTATTTATATAATGTATATTCAGGTTTTGTCCCCTAAACAACTTTGTTGTTTGATTACGCTTATTTTTAACAAATTATACCATATGCACACTTTAAACATGTACTAATAAATATCTCATCTATACTGTCCTGTTTTGTGTACTATCTTGTAATACATCAAATGACGATAATTTCCTAGAGAATGATTTGCCGCCCCCCCCCCCCCCCCCCCCTCCTTCTAAAATATATATCTAGCTGTACAGTAAACTATATCTTACTTTACGGTGCACTTTATCCAGCTGTACTGTGTACTTTATCTAGCTCTACTGTGCACTATATCTAACTGTATTGCGTACTTTCTCTAGCTGTACAGTGTACTATATCTAGCTGTACAGTGTACTATATCTAGTTGTACTGTGTACTATATCTAGCTGTACTGTGTACTATATCAAGCTGTACCGTGTACTATATCTAGTTGTACTGTGTTCTAGCTTTACTGTGCTACGAGTCTGGTGATCTACACTAGTCCCCTGGTTCTCCCCCTGGCTCTACGACGAGGATGGTTTACTCCGGACGGAGGAATCCTAGTTTTCAAGTTTCTCACAGGACTCGGGCTCATTGGTTTATTTTCTCTCATCTCAAGAACTATTGGGAGGTCAGCTATTGTTAGTTTTTATCATCAAACCTTTTAGTTTTAGGAGGTAGTTGTTTTCTCATATCTTATACAGTGCTAATTAAAAAGACCCGGAATTAATTTATAAGTAATCAGACGACTTTACGATATAATTTTACAAATATGATTGATAAAACAAAATTCAAAAAATAGCCCAAGTCCTACCATTTCCAAACTGTGGTGCGGAATTAATTTATAAGTAATCAAAAGACTGTGCGATATAATCTTGCAACTATGATTGATAAAACAAAAATTAAAAAAAAAACCCTAGTCCTGCTATTTCCAAAATGTGGTCTGCCTTTTTTGAGCATTTAAAATTGCCAAAGATATATATGTAAAATCGCCTGAATAACTGTCAATTAATTCCGGCTCTTTCTGATTATGACTGAATATAAAGTAGTAATCCCATAACTCAGGAACTCCTTGATCGATTTTCCCCAAACAAAGTGTATACAGAAATGAATTTGTGTGTGTGTGTGNGTACAATCGTCTCTGAAGTCTCATCATTTGTGGGTAACCCTATAAACTTCTGATATCTTGTTGAATCTATTTTTAAAAACTTATTGGATTAAAAAGTGAAAAAGTTCAACCCTGAGCAATTTTCATCATATTTACAGAAAATGAACAGGAATACATGGCATGGCTACTATTTCAGGTTACAAAATCCGCACTACTCAACGTTTATTGATGTTTTAGCCAACGCACACAAAGAATATACTCCCAAATCAAAGGTAATTAGATATTTAAAAATTAAATAATTTTTTCTCTTTCATTAGATAAAAATGCGAGTTTACGTAAATTCGAATTTTTAATCCGATTCTAAGAAATCCTAAGATCAGATTTGAAAACCCGTGTTTGCTTTTCTCGTTTAGAAATGAAATTTTTACTAGGAAATTTCATCTATAAAACACTATAAAAATTGTGAGTTCTCAAATTTTTTCTCCACCAAAATTTTAGAAAATGTTTTATTTGATTCAGGCAGTGTTGGAACGGTTTGATTTTCAGTTCAAATCTTGGCCGGTGGATTTTGATGTGAAAGAGATTGAAGAGTAAGTGTAAATATAAATACAAAAAATAGTAAATTCGATTTTTTTTACATTTTAAATTTGAATCTTTGTTGCGGTTTATACTTGACCCTTATGAGAGATGGAAATTTATAAATGTGGATCAAATTAAATAGGATAATTGGGTTGAACTTAATAATTAAATTTCAAACATGCTTGAAATAGACCCCCCTCACTCAGTTCAGTAGGTCAGGAAATCCGACTGGTATAAAAATCTTCGTTGGTTTTTTTAAATCCCAATAAACGTCAAAACGGCTAAACCGAATCAGGGATTTTTTCATGATTAAAATATGTTTTGTTAAGAATTGTCCCTTTTCTAAATTAAAAAAAAAAGTTTAATTGTTTTTTTGTTTTTGTTTTTTAAATGTAAGAGGGAGCGATAAAAATCAACAAATCATTAGAAAAAGGGTGTGCGGAATACCTCCGGGCATTGAATTCTTTCATTTATCTGATGTTTTATTTTCATCATGTTCTTACATCCTTATTTTGTAGGGTAAAAGCTCGGAAAGTATTGGAAGGGAGCAGGTCAGGTTCAATGTTGTCAGTGACTGATCTATTGGCAAAGATGCTCACAAATACTGTTGGTATTGTTTTATTCTTTTTATAATATTTCATGTAATTGAACTGTATTACACATATAAATATAATAAATATATATAGTTTTCTGTTTGTTTATGTCCAACAAAACGCCTTCAACCAAACCGATCGTGTCCACATTTTTTGTGGAGCTTCCGATGAACTGATGAATTTTTCAAATTACCTCTGTTAGTTTTAAATTCTATATTTTGTAAATACAGGAATGAAAACGGAAAAGTCTGCCAAATATTTTGGTTTTTTTATTAGATAAGAAGATAAGATGGTGGCAACATTATAAAATGCTAACTAAATTCAAAGAAAGAAAGTCTAGAATATTATATAAAAACTTTCCAGGAATGAGTCTAGTGTATCCTGGTTCTATGGGAGTAATGGGACTTCTACTGGAGACTCCTCTCCTAGAAGGACGAACCAAACTTCATCTGGAGTATAATGGGACCCGGAGCAAGATTCGAACCCGAGATAATAATGATATTGATACCATGTTCGTTAACCAGTCAACCAAGTAAGTTATGAAAATAAAAAATGCTTTGGATTCTTTGAAATTGGGGTAAACCGTTTATCGTAAATGTAAAACTTAATCGATGAATTCTCCTGAATCATTATTTTCACTACATATTTCTACAAGGTGCGTTTTAGCCATTAATATAAACCTATCATAATTTTCAAGGAACTTTTAAAATTGTAAAATACCAGAGTGAATGAAGGAATCAAGCATTGATCCTCAAACTTAAAGTGCCCGCATTGAATATCGAGATCGCAATTTTAAAATAAAAAAATATTCAATGAACTATTTTCAGGAATTTGAAAAATCTGGCTGGGATTTAAATTTTAAGATTATCGATATAATTGACTGTAAAAACAAAAACCAGCAAAAACTAGTTTTTAAGTTTTTAGAAATAAAGAAGGTTTAATTAAAAAGAAAAACAGTTTTCAGGAAGAAAACATAATCTTATTGGGGTTAATTTCTAGAGAAGAAAGTTCAATTTTAGATTATTCTGAACTGCATAGTAAAGCTAATGTAGAATATTTAAAGATTCTTTCTTATTAAGGTGTAACGGTAATATTCTTGTGATTTGCTGTGAGGGGAATGCCGGGTTCTATGAGATTGGAATTATGAGTACTCCATTAGCTATAGGATACAGTACACTCGGTTGGAACCATCCGGGCTTCTCAGGGTCTACAGGTATATCATTAACGTCTCATCCTTTGTGGGTAACCCTGTACATGCTGCACACTCATAGACATTAGACATGCTTGATATTTTTTTTTTTTTAATAGTTGTTGGATTAGAAATATGATATTTCATTTCGGAGAGTAATTTATCTCCAGTAGATTCTTCAGATTTTTGATTTATCAAGTAGCAATATTATTAAGTTGCTAAATGATTTATGTGAACTGTTTTGTGGAATATTCCTTCACCCTTAAACTGACTGTGGTCATTCTTTTAAGTGGCTTTCCCGTTTTAGAGTGGCATATCCGATTCACATCAGTACCCTTAAAGGCTTTTTGGGATCAAAATTTCGTTATTTTCAAGTGTAAACTGTAAAGTGACTTGCAAATTTTTGCTGTTGAAAAGTAAATAATCAGAATTGAACACTTCTGATGTCATATTATTGATCAGAAAAAGGTTTAAAGAGTGTCGATGTGAATCAACACGTGAAATTACAATAACATTCCCATTGAATAATTATTTTTTGTTTATATTTGTATTTTGTCGAGGTTCCCCGTATCCGGAGCAAGAACGAAATGCAGCGGATGCAGTTATGCAGTTTGCAATACATAAACTTCAGTTCAAACCTGAGAATATTATTGTTATGGGTAAATATATTAAATAAAGACCAGCTGAAGTGCCCGGCGTTACCCGTGGAATTTTAAAAACGCTTTGGAAACGAAATTTTTAAATTACGAAATTTCAGGGGGAGGATTGCCTATGTCATCCTTAGGTTACCCACATTTCAGTCTATTTGGTCCAGCTGTTTGGCCAGCTATAGCTAAAATATATAAATGAGTGAAGAGCTTCATTATATATAGATTTTTTTAATGAAATTAGTTTTTTAATGCTAAAACTTTTGGTTAAGAAAGAACTTAGCCACATCGACTTAAATCATCATCCACATCGTAAACTTCAAATTAAAGGATTTCAGGCGAATTCCCGGAATGTTAGTGGTCCGCATGAAGAAGTTAAGAAATTATTCAAAGTTGTCCTACGGCTTTAATTTTAATCGTTAGGAGAGGAACAGATTTAAAATACAAAAGTTTGTAAAATATACCTAAAGTTTTACATTTTTTCAAAATAATGAACCAGGATTTTTTTGTTTCTTGAAAGGAACTGAGTCTTCACCACAAACTCTGTTTTTCTAATCCCTATAATTTGCAACCCAATGTCGTATACGAATTCTGTTGGATCATTTAAGTTTTTACCATCAGGCTGCAAAGATATAGGGATTAGAAAATTTGAGTTTGTGGCAATGACTCGATTCCTTTTCAATTTAATTTATATTAGGTTGGTCTATTGGAGGGTATACAGCAAGTTGGTTGGCTATGAACTATCCAGAAATTAAAGGACTGGTAAGTTTGTTTGTTTTTGTCAAAATATTTGTGAAGATTTTAACGGAAATGTTTTCTAGGTTCTTGATGCGACATTCGACAGTCTGGAACCGTTGGCGATTCCTCGGATGCCGAAGTTTATGGCGGGTATCGTTAAACACGCTGTTAACAACTACATTAACCTCAACGTCGGAGAACAGCTGAGCAAATATTCTGGCCCTGTCACCATAGTTCGCAGACTCAGAGATGAGATGATCTCAACAAGGTTGGATTTAAGTTTACTCCGGGTCCAGGGAGGGTCCAGGGTTCAAGTTTACTCCGGGTCCAGGGTTCAAGTTTACTCTGGGTCCAGGGTTCAAGTTAACTCGGGGTCCAGGGTTCAAGTTTACTCCGGGTCCAGGGTTCAAGTTTACTCTGGGTCCAGGGTTCAAGTTTACTCTGGGTCCAGGGTTCAAGTTTACTCTGGGTCCAGGGTTCAAGTTTACTCTGGGTCCAGGGTTCAAGTTTACTCCGGGTCCAGGGTTCAAGTTTACTCCGGGTCCAGGGTTTAAGTTTACTCCAGGTCAGGGTTTGATTCATAAACTAGGGAAAGTTGTCAAGCCATCAAAGATCTATCCTTCGTCTGAGGTTGAATCATCAATGAGGAAATAAAACGTCTCAGCGCTGACAGCACAGATTTTAGATACATAAGTTTTGTCTTCTGGTTTACAATGTATTTAAGTAAGGTTTTCTCCGGGTACAGGAATTCAGGAATTAGCTTACACTTTGCTACATTTTTCTCCGGGTTTAACCTTATCCTGACGGTTTGCTACTGGTTTCATTTTTCTCCGGGTTTAACCTTATCCTGACGGTTTACTACTGGTTTCATTTTTCTCCGGATTTAACCTTATCCTGACGGTTTACTACTGGTTTCATTTTTCTCCGGGTTCAACCTTATCCTGACAGTTTACTCCAGGTTCCATTTTTCTCCGGGTTCAACCTTATCCTGACAGTTTACTCCAGGTTCCATTTTTCTCCCAGGTTTAACCTTATTCTGACGGTTTACTCCTGGTTCCATTTTTCTCCGGGTTTACTCCAACGTCGTTTGTAATTTATGCTAACGGTTTACTCAAGGTTTAACCTGAAGGTTTAGCTCTGGTATATTTAAGTAAAGACCAGATGTTTTGATAATATTTTAAATTTGAATATTCTTTATAAAATGGATCGATTAGAGAGAATGATCTTGATTTTCCGAGATAATTTTAAAATTATAAAATTACTTTTAATCTTTGATTTTAATCTCAAAATGATTTTTTTTAGAGAATTGGAAATTATCTTTTTAAATTGGTTTTGTTTAAGAGAATTATTTTCTTTGCTATTTTAGTCAATTAGAGCTGGATACAAACAGGGGGAATCATCTGCTGGTAAAGATGCTGGAGACAAGATATCCGAACCTAGTCTGTTCCGAGATAAGATCCAGTCTTCTCACCATCCTCTCCCAACCCATCCAATCCATAGACATAGAGCTCAAGGAGCAGGAGCAGTTCTATCATGAATATATCTCGGAGAACAGGTCGTCTTTTCCTTGTCTTATTGGAGAGAAGATGACAGAGGACGAGAAAACTTTAATGCTTCTCTATCTGGTTAGTTTTTATTCTATTCTCCCTTTAAACTTGTTTCTATTCTTTCTACCTTTAATTCTTCTCTATCTGGTTAGTTTTATTCTATTCTCCCTTTAACCTTTTTTTCTTTTCTTTCTATCTTTAATTGTTCTCTATCTGGTTAGTTTATATTCTATTCTCCCTTTAACCTTTTTTTCTTTTCTTTCTACCTTTAATTCTTCTCTATCTGGTTAGTTTTTTTTCTATTCTCTATTCTCAGTTGATTTGTATTTATGTTTATAATTCTTCTATATCAGTTTAGTTTTTTTGGGGGTTCTAAACCTCCCTCGCTACGCTCGTGAGGTTTAGAACCCCAAAAAGGTCTTGGAGGCCCTCGGCTAAGTGGTTTTCCCCTCAATTTAATTATCCTCCCTTAATCTCCCGGTTAAGTAGTAATTAATAATTATAACTAAACTTTATTGATTTATGTTTATGTTTATAATTCTTCTCTATCAGTTTAGTTTTTTTATTTTCTCTCTTTAACTAAACTTTATTGATTTATGTTTAGGTTTATAATTCTTCTCTATCTGGTTTGTTTTTATTCTACTCTCTATTCTCAGTTGATTTATGTTTATGTTTATAATTCTTCTCTATCTGGTTTGTTTTTATTCTATTCTCTATTCTCAGTTGATTTGTGTTTATGTTTATAATTCTTCTCTATCAGTTTAGTTTTTTTATTTTCTCTCTTTAACTAAACTTTGTTGATTTATGATGTTTATAATTCTTCTCTACCTTTTTTGTTTTTTGTTTTTTGTTTTCTACCTTTCACTAAAGTTTTTTTTATGTTCATAATTCTTTTCTATCAGTCTTATCAAGAATGAATGAGATATCATTCTTATTTCACTAGAAATTTGATTTAATTTGATTTAATTTGATTTAATTTGATTTGATTTGTGGTTTCTCTATGATGAGATGCTAGAGTCAAAATAGAAATGAGAATTGAAAGCGGTGTAAAACAGAAAAAGGACAAAATCTTTTCCATTGTAACTCAGCTAGTGGGACTGTAAGTGTAATTTCAAGTAACCCTCCTCCATGCAAAGATGATAAGGCCTCGATTTCTACCGAAACTGTTGAAACCTTGATCTGATCTAAAATGTGGAAGAAACCGTCGTTTTTTTGACTTTGCGTTTTCCCATTCCGTCTTTAAACAAGGAAAGCGCTTTTTACTCTTGCAGAGAAACCGCAAATAAAAATGAACAGTTTAAGAAAACAAAAATATTAAAATCCAATTCATACTTGATTAGAAAAGCTGTACCGTTGGGTACCGTTGTAAATCAGCCATCTTTGCCCGGAAGAAGAAAAAAAAAAACTTCGTTCCTCCCGTTTCTGTATGTTAATCTTAAATGGCGCGCAAAATTTTAAATTTATCGGCATCATATATACGTGACTGTAATTGGTTGAATTTCATACAATTTTCAGGATACAAGTACAAGATTAGGTTAGTCTCGATATTATGAGAAAGAGAGGATCAAGCGTTAATCTCGATATCCACCTTTAAAGTTTTCAGCTCTGGTTTCCACTAGCTTATATCATTTTCTTGTCTTTTAATGGAACACTATTTATAATTGTTTTCGATGAAAAAATTAAAATAATGTTATTATAATGTATTTGTTGTAATAAATAATCGCCATCAATTCTCAACTTAACCAATTTTAAAGAATCTCAACAAAGCCCTTATTTCGGTTCTACCGTTTTAACGGAACAACCCGATTTGAGAACATTATGATTTTATCAGTCTTAACTCAGACTAGATTATAAGCTAAGATCAACTGTGGCACTGTTCAGTAAACATGACGATAATATCAGTCTTAACTCAGATTAGATAATACGGAGATTAAGCTCAGATCAACTCTAGTGCTGACAAAATAATACTAAGGTTAAGCTAAGATCAACTCAATAATACCTTGACATATTCACGAAACCTCTTGTATTTCTTTTATTCTCTCTTTATAAACGTCTCTTAAGTCTCCTTTGCATTTGCATTGTGGGTCAGATGCATAGTAAGTGTCATCAGGTAACCAACTGTCCAGGAAACCAGTGTCAAGGACTCCAAGAAACCAGTGTCAAGGACTCCAGGAAACCAGTGTCAAGGACTCCAGGAAACCAGTGTCAAGGACTCCAGGAAACCAGTGTCAAGGACTCCAGGAAACCAGTGTCAAGGACTCCAGGAAACCAGTGTCAAGGACTCCAGGAAACCAGTGTCAAGGACTCCAGGAAACCAGTGNGGCTTTTTACACTTTCCGAGAGGGTTCACACACCCCCTCCTTTCCTTTTCGACATCAATCTACATCCCTGAACATTTTACATTGTCATTATTCACCCAACCACAAAAATCATAAAGCATGTGTGGGTGAATTTTAGAAACAATGTTCTTAAAATTATTTAATAAATTATTATAAAACCATAGATATATTATAGAATATACGTGCGGATATAAAAAGGGAGATTATTGTTTATTTAGTATGAACTACGAAATTAAAGTAATCAAGAGATTCATCGTAGCTTTCACAAAAAAAATCTTGAAACTCAAGAATGAAGAACATAAAAAAATTAGTTTGCTGTTCATTCAGTGCACTAAGAAAGTTGTATATGTGGACCAGAGCCACCATGACAGAAGTCCGAATGAAAAATCTATTTAGAATGCACATTCATCCCAATCGGATGGGCGCCATCAGGGATAGCATGAAAAACAATTATTTTTAAATGCCAGCCCACGAAGGCTTGAGTTTGGAGGTAATAAAAGACCATTTTTGTTATTTTTAATCTGGATTTAATTTACTCTATTCATTGCACCGCCGTTTTGTAATCTTTCTTTTTATTACAAACTAGCTGAAGTGCCAGGCTTTGCCCGTGGAATTTTACGTCATCCCAAAAGTTTCCTCACTAAAATTCAGCACATTTTATTCAGCCGTTTGGCCAGCCATAGCAAACATATAAATGAACTAAGAGTTTTATTATAAAGATTACAATTGTACTCCTACTTTTTTTCAAAACAGAAACTTTTACAAGTCATAATCCTTTTCTGGACCTTTGTCCTTTTTTCATCTTACAGAACTAAAGTTTAAGTTGAGTTTTTCATTTTCAAAAATGTCTATTACCATCTCTAGTTTAAAACCTAATAATTACTAACATAACAGTTTAAAAAAGTGTCGATTTTTTAGAAATTTTTTTTTTCTGCTAGTGCTTTGAAGAAGAGATAAAAACATGCAAGGTAATTTGACTGTATGTGTGTACCTTTAAAGTATCTTATGCTAAATCCATGAAGCCAACTGTTTTGAATTTAAAGTTCAAATTTTGCAAAAACAAAAATTTTGCCGCTTCGAGCAAATTTCGCCCCCACCTAGATTTATTTCTGTATTCGCCCTTGTGATTAGGAAAGGAATCTTGGGGTTTTCAGACCTAAATCCGCGTTTTATGTCTGATTTGTTTTGAATTTTTAGTTCAGTGTTTTTTAAGTGTTTCAAACCCAGCTAAAATATGACGTTAGATGGACAAAAAAAAATTCGATTGCTTAAAAATGGCAATAATTACACTATCATCTAAAACATCTCCATCTGATGCAAAAATCCACCAAGGATTTAGCTTAACACTCCTCTATAACCTTGAAAAAGCTTTTAAAGCTTTAAATTCTTCATATTCACGTATAAGAAAAACTTTAATTATGGATGGGTAAGATAAAATCAAAGACTGGCGAATCTTGAAAGTCTTCAAAGTTGATTGATATCTCCATAGTTGTGTAGATCTAAACGTGATCAACATTGAACTAAAATCTGAAAACTTCAAATACTGTCAATTAATGCCAAAGGACAAGATTTTAAAGACTTTCCTCCATTTATAGACTGGCATGTCCAATTTACAACGGACCCTCCAAACCTTTTGCTTTGATAAAAGTTAAAAAATTTTCATTTTAAAAATTGTGTTTTCTCTGTTAAAGTAAATTACGGGTTTCTGTTTCAGAAATAATGGACGAATTTGTCAGAATTAAACACTTTTCAAAACGACAATATCTTCCACATTTTTGAACTGATAAAGGTCCACAAAAAATGTCAGCCCATTCAGTCCAGCCGTTTGGCCGGCTATAGGCAACATATATATGAATGTCTTGTTTTAAAATAGATAGTGTATATTATCATTATTATTATTATTATTATTATTANCTAGAAATAATGCAATCTATATAACCCTGTTATCTAGATCTAGAATTAATAAAGCTATTTAACCTTGTCATCTAGAGCTAGACGTAATACAAGCTATTCAACCCTGTTATCTAGATCTAGAAATAATATAAGCTATTTAACCTTGTTATCTAGAACTAGATGCAATACAAGCTATTCAACCCTCTTATCAAGAGCTGAAATAATGCAATCTATATAACCCTGTTATCTAGAGCTAGTAATAATGCAAACTATGCAACCCTGTTATCAAGATCTAGAAATAATGCAATCTATATAACCCTGTTATCTAGAGCTAAAAATAATGCAATCTATATAACCCTGTTATCTAGAGCTAATAATAAAGCAATCTATATAACCCTGTTATCAAGATCTAGAAATAATGCATTCTATATAACCCTGTTATCTAGAGATAGAAATAGTACAAGCTATTCAACCCTGTTATCTAGAGCTAGAAATAATGCAAGCTATTCAACCCTGTTATCTAGATCCAGAAATAATGCAATCTATATAACCCTGTTATCTAGAGCTAGAAATAATACAAGCTATTTAACCCTGTTATCTAGAGCTAGAAATAGTAAAAGCTATTCAACCCTGTTATCTAGAGCTAGAAATAATACAAGCTATTCAACACTGTTATCTAGAGCTAGTAATAATGCAATCTATATAATCCTGTTATCTAGAGCTAGAAATAATGCAAGCTATTTAACCTTGTTATCTAGAGCTAGAAATAATGAAACCTATTCAACTCTGTTATCTAGAGCTAGAAATAATACAAGCTATTCAACCCTGTTATCTAGAGCTAGAAATAATACAAGGTATTCAACCCTGTTATCTAGAGCTAGAAATAATACAAGCTATTCAACCCTGTTATCTAGAGCTAGAAATAATACAAGCTATTTAACCTTGTTATCCAGAGCT